CCTCCTATGTGGTAATCTCAGTATTAATGAGATTTTGCTACTACAGTGCTGTATAACAAACATCCACAGAACTTTAGCGGTAGCAATATACTCGTATTTTTAGGGATCCGGGGTTTGGCTGGTCTTGACTGAAGCAGATCTGCTTCTGACCACAGGTCTGGGATCAATTGAGGATCAGCTCACCTGGGCTGGACTCCGGTCCTCGTGCCTCTGATCTTCCTTGGACCAAGCCACCAGTCCGAGCCTGTCCCCTCTCAGCAATGTTAGAAGCACCAGAGGGCGACTGAAGCACATGAGGCTTCTGAGGTCTGGGCTCAGAACTGGCACACTGCCACTTCCTCCCACATGCCATTGGCCAAAGCAAGTCATATGACTAAGCAACACCAAGAGCAGGGAAATACATCCCTCCCCTGGCAAGGGTACTGATGCAGGATAGAGTGAAGACTCAGGACCAAACTCAATCTGCATCCCCTCTCCAAAGGCCAACACCCCCGTGCAATTCAGACTTTAATAAAAGGGGCAAGGAAGAGATGGCTGATGGTCGTCATTGTCACAATCCATCATGGCTCTTTTTCTGGCCAATAATTGCTTAATGTTCCTAATGAGTTGGCAACGTTTCCAGCGTGTCGTTTGGGCCCATCTTTGTGCTGAGTGCTTTTGGGGGACATCAGAGAGAAAAGCCCTTATTCTACCTTCAGGAGCTCACGATCCTTTGAGGCTTGTGTACAAAGACAAGATGGGGGCAAGATATGCTCAGTTGCATCATACAGACTGGAGTGAAGAGAAAGGAGAGACCAGCAGAGACTAGAAAAGAACGAGATGGGAGGAGAGGAGATACTAATAACTAGTAAGCACTTGCCGAATGCCAGACACTGTGCCGAATCCTTCCCACGCCTGCTCTCGTGACCGCCAGAGAGGCACCGTGATCACCACCATTCAAGAGATGAAAAAACAGAGGCACAGGGAACTCAAGTCACTGGCACATGGTCACCCCTCTGATAAACCCTGGAACCAGGATTTGAGTCCAGCTCTTCCAGCGGCCAGAGCCTGAGAGTTCGTCACCAGGACCCATGGCCAGCCATCCAGGGGTAGGGGAATGGCAAAAGTGGGCAGATGTGCATAGAGGACAGCTTCCAGGGGGTGGGAGCCGTGGAGGGGACCCCAGCCATGTTATGAACTATAAATGGGAGCAAAGATAGGATGTGCGATTTGGCCAAGGTCCTGCAGCAAGACAGGGTGGAGGCTGGGCTGGAAATTCTGACTGTTGGCTCTCCTTCCACTTTCCCTGGTTCCAGCCGCTTTCTGGGCTCTCTCCACCCATCTGCGCGGCCACGCCTGAAGCGTTTCCCTCTTGGAAGAGGTGCAATCCACTGGCATTGGAGCCGGGTGGACTGGCTCCCGCTCTCTATCCATCTCTTTCCTCCTTTCCCCTGCCATGTTCTGGAAAGGGCAGTGTGAGGGAATGTGGGCAGGTTGCACCAGAGATATACATCTGAGAACTGAAGGAACATTTATTTTTAATTTAGACTTAAAAAGAAAAAAGGAAGTTATAAAATATCTGCTCTTGCTCCTGGGATTGTGCAGATGGCACTGCGTGTTGCCTAATAGGGAATGGGGCTGGCACCGCGTGCTCCTGGCCCCACCAGCCTGATGTAGGACCTGGAAGGCGGGATCCCTGTTCCCTTTGCCTCAGCTCGAGCGTGGTGTTCTGCTGCCTCCTAACCCGCCCTTCCTGGGCTCCAGTCTGCTGGTTTCCCAAACCTCCCTCTTCAGGGAGGTCAGTCTCTCAGCTGTTCTTGCTCCCGTGAGCTCACACACGCACAGGCACACCTCAGCGCCATCTTCCCTCCTCCTTCAGCAGATAGCCAGAGCATACCTCCCTCTCCCAGCCAGAACTCCTGTTTGGCTGTTAGAATTTATTAACCTCACAGATATCCAAGTACCCAGTTAAACCATCTTGTTGCGTTCATGCCCAGGTGTTAGAAGGGACCTTCTCATACGGTTTCTGTTTGTGTGTGTTTGTTGTGGTTAGGTACACTATATTCCTTTCCTCTGGTATTCCCCACGGGGAGCAGCGTGGGACTAGGCCCACAGAAGATGCTCAGAATGGGTGTGGAGTCTGGTTCTTCTTTGTGCTCATGCAGGGGGATGAGCTGGAGAAGGAGCCCTACAATCTGAGAGACAGGGCTCCCAAGCCAGGAATCAGAAGACGTGACTCTATTTCTAGCTTGCTATGAAGCCTTAGGCAGACCACCGGATATCTCTAAACCTCAGTCATGCCATTTGCAGAATATAGAAGGTAATCTCTATTTTGTCTGAGCCCCAGACTTATAATAAGGATGATGGTAAGTGACGTAAGCGGCCATGCTTAGCAAAATCAATCAATCAATCACTCACTCAGTCTCTTTAAGAAAGCATAAGGAGTCAGAGCGGAGTGAGCATGAGGCCCACGTGAGAGCAGGAGGTTGGGTCAAGAGGCTGCTCAGAGCTGGCCAGCCAGGCGAAAGTTCGCTGGTTATAAGCTGTGAGCGTGTGTGTAGTCCATAGCCTGGGTGCCAGTTTTGTTTAGTTTAGGGCTGTGTTTTGTTCTGAAAAGACTTGATATCACATTTTTAAAATGTATGGCACACAGTAAATCAATGAAGATGAAAATGAGACAAAAGCAAATGTAGGGAGGGGGAGATAAGATGAAGTTGGGAGGGAAGTTTGGACACAGAACATGTGCCAGGAGGATGCGTGTGCTGGGCAGACATGGGCCGCAGAGAGCCGGCCTGATGGCAGCCGTCAGTGCGGAGAGGAACACAGGTACGGGCCTGTACGTGCAGGATCGATGCCGCCCAGATGCTCAGAAGGGGACCTGCTAGGGAATGAGCTGGGAGGGCCCTGGACAGCAGCTGTCTGGTAAATACAGTGAGTCCCATGGGGCTGCATCTTACCACACTGCTGGTGGCTCAAACACAGTTCAGCGGGTGCGGTGGGGATTGGAGGGGAGAAGACAGTGTCGCTCATAACTCACTCATGTTCTATCAACCAACAGATTTGAGGGGGTGATATGTTCTCAACGGTGAAGAACTATTTTCATTTCCCCAGGCTTTGGGAAGCAGTCAGGCATGTACATGTGTACAGATACGTGCACAAGCCCTCTTGCGCGTGCGCGCGCACACACACACACACACACACACACACACACACTTGTGGGTTCACACTGTTCCCAGCTTCAGGCCTCTCTAGGCTCAGCTTCTTCTCTATGGTCTGGCTCCTGACTGGCTGGAAGGAGGGGCCCTGTGTTTCTCTACCAAACTTCTCAACTGGACTGGGCTGGGAGGATTCCCTTTACAATGGGGCTGTCTCTCTTGACTTCACATGTATTACTTGGAACCTGAGAATAGCATTTAAACTGAGTTAAGACCTCCAAGGTCAACTCCTTCACTCCATAGGTAAGAAAGCTAGAGCCCAAAGGGGCTGTCTTCTGCTGGAGATCACACAAGGACAGAGCCAAGGCCAAGAACCAAAGTCACCTGATCACCACTCCAGTACCCTGAGCTGTCATTGCAAGAAAAAATGGAGCTGCGATCTCATTTTTGGAGAAAAATCTCATCATTTCTCACTGGAGCTATGGAATGACTTTACATGATATAATTTTATTCAAACTGATATGGGCCAATAAATATAAATGTGTATACATATTCACTGTTTTAGAAACATTTTAATCTTTAAAACATGATTTACTAATATTGCTGAGGATGTCTAGAATTTGATTCACCGCATAGAATTGAATGCTCGTGTTTGTTCCTTACAGAAACTCTTGCCAAAGAGCCATTTTATCTACAGGGATGATAAATAAGTCAGTATGGGGATGGTTGTGCACATTTCTTGCCATATGCAGCAGTACTTGGTAGATGCTATTTTGCATACAAGCATTCAAAAGGTAAACTTGAGAGACACATGGATCCCTGAAATCCAAGGTTTGGCCAGTGTTAAAGTCAGACAGTTAATCTTGGCTTAAAAAACAAAGTCGGTGAGCCTAGGTCTTGGGAGTAATGGACACACACACACACGTAGTCTTGCTTAGCTACACGGTGCGTGGCTCCTGCGTTCATTCACTCTTTCAACAAGTGTTTACTGGACACCCATGTTTCATTCGATGGCTTAAATCTGGCAGACGTTTTGCTTCATGAGGGCTCAGTGATAACAGATAAATTCCCCCAGACTGTATTTGTAAAGCACTTCAGTCCCCTGGAATGATTTTTGTTTGCCCCTCACGAAAACCTGCTGGATGGCTGGAGTGCGAAGGAGCAGGGTTAGCCGAGTAGAAGTGGAGGTGTTCCCTTTGCTGGCTTGTTTGTCTTACTGTTCGCCTGCCACCAGTTTTGGAAGTAATGCGTGTTAGCTGTTACAAAGAGTAAGAAGTATCCAAGAGGACGTGAGAAAGTTCTGTGTAACCCGTTCTACATGCTGCGCTCGGGACTTTTTTCATGCTTGGAGTTATGTACGTGTATGTGTTTCTATATGTTTTTATATATAAGATGCTTTTCTTTGAAAAATGAGATGCTGTAACACAATTCTGCAACTTGGTTTTTTTTTTTTACACCATATACTGTTTTGTTTTTTTTTTAAGATTATATTTATTTTTAGACACAGGGGAAGGGAGGGAGAAAGAGAGAGGGAAACATCAATGTGTGGTTGCCTCTTGTGCACCCCCTACTGGGGCCCTGGCCCACAACCCAGGCATGTGCTTGGACTGGGAATCCAACCAGCAACCCTTTGGTTCGCAGGCCGGCACTCAATCCACTGAGCCACACCAGCCAGGGCTAAATCATATACAGTCTTACTATGGGCAGCAGTTTATACGGACACATCATCCATATCTGTTTGTACAGATTCAGCTTGTTTTTCTTCATGGCTATTTGATTTTTCTTTGCAAAATTGTAGTGTGGGTTGTTTTGCCTTTTTCAGCTCTCTTCTCTCTCTCTCTCTTTTTTCCCCTCCCTCATTCTCAGGTGGTCGGTCTTCTTATGCCCAACCAGACACTGGCATCCACTGTCTTCTGGCAGGTAACAGTCTCCCAGCAAACAGGCTCCTGAGGGAGGGCCCAGCAGGTACTGGTTAGAACTCCTTGCCTCAGTATCTCCTGCCCCATCCATGCCCCTCAGAGACAATCACACCACTTCTTACCTCCCTGCAACCCAGAAGCTACTGGGAGAAGCCCCAGGCCTTCAGGCCCTGCCCGGTTGGTCCTCGCCAGCCCGCGCCTGCAGCCACTCTGTGCCACTTTAACCTTTGCGTGGGGGTGATGAGGGCTGGCAGGCGTCCTCAGCTGGGTGGCTTATTGATGGCCACCCAATGTGTCCCTTGGCTGCTCATCCTATGGCCAGTGACCTCGAGGCCTACAGCCTCTTTGACATCAGCCTCACCCAAACCTGGGGGGAAGGTAAATCCACCCCCAAAGCCAAGGCAGCAAGGTGGTGACAAAGCATCACAGGCCCTGGTCTCCACTTGTGAAAAGAGCTGAGGCTGTGGCTCTCGGACAGGAGCTGAAGCTCTGCATGTGTGTGTGTCTCCTACACACCCAGGGGGAGGAGAAGGAAGTAGAACCTGTCTGTCTTCAGGAGAAAGTGTCAGTCTTCCCTGAGCAAAACTGCAGCAGCGCCCGTGTCTGGGTGCTAAGGGTGGTGCCGGACACTGGGCTGGGGACATTCCAGGGTCCAGCTGTCCACCTCTGTCCAGGAAGTAGTGTAATAAGGATGACGTGGCAAAGGCGGGGGGGGGCGGTGTTTGGGGCAGTGAGAGCCATGATGTGGGAGGAGGTACTGCCTCTGGATTAGGATGGGCCACTGGCGTGGGCAGAACCGGTGCCTGGTCTGCCAGGAGCTGAGGGCTTTCCCAGGACTGGGGACATCAGTGCTGAAACTGGCCCAGTTCCAGCAAACTAGGCCATTGGTCATACTAATAGGAGGGTGGATACACCCACCGTGAGCCAGCGACTCACCTTTGTCCGAAGGTGTGAGGCCTTCTGGGGCCCGGGCCTGGCTTCCAGGGAGATGAGCCCGTCTTCCCTGACTTCTCCTCTCCCCACTTGCCTTTCAGTGGCTGAACCAGAGCCACAACGCTTGTGTCAACTATGCAAACCGCAACGCTACCAAGGTGAGCACCACGGACCACCAGCCAGTGGCGGCTTTCGGGCTGGGGTGCCCTTCATCCTCCCTGCAGTGAGTCATGCCACTCACCTGGGTGGAGCATCGCCCTCCTGGAGGCACCTTATTTAAGCTGCCAGCCCCTCAGGAGGGGCCTTGACGAGAGGGACTGTTCATGTGAGGTGAAGAAGGCCTGTGACGTGGGAGCGTGGCGGGGCGGGGAAAGGGATGAGCTTCGCTGGCTTCAGGATTCCCTGCAGGCCACTCTCAAACCTGATGGTGGATCAGGACAGCAGCAGCCCCCTGGGGTCTGATTTCCCCTAAAGCCTTCTCCAAGCTTTCCTGGAAGTGGCCCCCATGTCCCTGGACTGCGGGCTGCAAAGCTGAAAGGCTGCTCTTGAGGGGCAGTGGGCCTGAGAGGACAGGATGGACATATCCCCTCCTGCCCTCCTGGGATGAACTTGCCTTGGAGGCCCAGTTACCCTTTGTCATCTGGAAGGGGCTCCTGTGTCTCTGGCAAGGCTTCCTTGCACCCTGGTCAATTCTCGCTCTTCGGTCCAAAGACAGGGAGAGTGGGGAAAGACTCTAGGTCCCCGTGGCAGGGTTGGGGCAGTCTGTTTGGGTAGGAGAGGGCCCGGGCATTTTCCAGCCTTGGGGGGTGATACTTCAGGGCCTCATACTCTGAGGACACCCCCTCCTCGTTCTAAACCTTCGACTCCCCCATGTGCTCACACACATGCATCTCCGCTTGTTTGGCTCTCGTCGACCCTAAACCGAGCATCTCCAAATTGCCATTGTGGTACAGCAAGGCAAATTCTGCAGCTCTTGTCTTAACTTTCTACATCGCAACTTGGGATACATTTTTCCCTAGAAATATTGAGCAACTGTCGTCTATTGGCATGGAAGCGCAGTTGCTACCAGGGTTGACGAGGCCTGTGGGAGCCAGCCAGGCTGGAGCCAGCCTTGACACTGCCGTGTCTAGCAAGGAAGTGCTCCAGGTGCCAGACAGCCCACTTGCAGCATGTGGCCTCCCTAAACCGAGTCTGCTTGCCCAGCCATGAATGACCCATTCGGCCCTTGCTGTTCTGTACCTGCAGGCTGCAGTGTCTGCCAGGGACCGTCACAGAGTGGCAGAGTGCAGTGGGCCCTTCGACATTTCCCTGGATATCGCCACCTCACATTTCCGTATTTAGAGCGGCACTGACGGTGGCCAGGGTCCCTTTGGCTTCCAGAGGGACCTCTTTCTGTCCACCGGACCCTTCGCTTGCTGGCTGGGGCTGTTGGCAAGGGCAGAGTGTGGGAGCCTTGGGTACCCAGTGGGCCTGAAATTCTGTCTTTGTCTTCCAGCCTTCACCCGTATCCAAGTTCATCCAGGGCTACCTAGGAGCTGTCATCAGTGCCGTCTCCATCGCTGTGAGTAAGCCCCCACCCCCAAGCCCCCTACCCCAGTCCTGCTGCTCTGTGGCTGCCCTCCCCATCATCTTGGGCCAGACCTTGTCTGACGGTCAGGGCAAGGAGTGTGGAAGACAGGTTTCTGTGGGTGGGCCGTCAGGGTAGGCTTTCTAGGCAGAGAAGAGAGTAGGTTCTGAGAGAGAGAGAGAGACAGCGCGCATGAAGTGGTGATTCAGGTTTCCGAGCAGTGGGGAGGGGAGGCGGTGCCTGTGGGTGGCGTAGAGGGCTGCCCACTGCAGCTAAGGGCAGCACGTCAGTCCCCAGAGGGCCCCGTGCTTGCCTGGCACTCTTCTCAGGGCAGCTGGTCATCACATGCAGTCACGTGCCTAATGCAGGAGACTAGGGGCTGTGGAATGGTTCTGAAGGTTGATCCCCCTGCCAGCTCCCCCCTACTCTTTGCCTGGGCTCCTGGGGCACTCTTGTCCCCTCTCTATAGTCTTGGCCCTGTGGTCACATGCCTAGTCCCTTCTGGAGGCCTGAAAGCTCCTCAAGACAGGCAATAGGCTCATTCTGAATCCCACAGGACTGAGAATAGAGCAGCTATTGTGTAAGGGAGGTTGGTAGACTCTGTGAGCCTCAGGATGGATCCCAGGGCGGGCGACACAGCAAGGGGCCTAGGCCAGAGCCTGAACGGAAGCTCAGGCTCCCAGGACCTTAGTCACATGTGTCCCACTCTTGCCCCTCTGGCCGGCACGCTCTTGACCCCGGCTGGGTGGTCTCCTTTAGCTGACTGCAGGGGCAAGTCACTGCACAGCTTTGTATTTTATTCATCATGCAATAAATACATGTAATTAGTAAGAAAAAATTAGGAAATTCGAATCAAAAGACATTTCCTTATAATAATCTTTTTGTGAAACCCACTTTCCTCATTGTTCTTGTGTCACTAAGTAAATGTGATGATTGTTCGTGAAAAGGCACTAATCCATCGTGTCCAACGCCGTCGTTGACTTCACTGTCCCTCTAAAGTCGGATTAAGTCGTCCTGAAATGGCCTCGTTTACTCCACTGCTATGTAGACCAGATCGTCTCCAAATAGCTGTTGGGGGGGTGTCCCCATTTCACGACCAAGATTGTCCTCCTTCCCTGAATGCTCATGTCTCATCACAAGCAAGAAGCCGGGCATTGCCAAATCTGTTTAGATGGCCGGCCGAGAGACTGCTCACCCCACCCTGGTGGCCCTGCAGCCTCGCACGAGACTTCACTGCGTTGCGATCGTACTCACTGAGGATCCTGCTTCTGTGGAAATTGCTGGCCAAGGTCAGGGGCTCCTGTGAGAGACAGGAAAGGGCTCTGTCACCTTTTCTTGCTCATGTTACCTCTTCTCCCCTATGACAAGAGGAGTGGATGGCTCAGCCTAGTTTAGCAGCTTGAAAGTCCCACTTTCCTTCTTTGGGATTCAAGGGTGGGGTGGGGTGGGGGAGTTGGAAGGGGGAGCCCTCAGACCGGGAAGGCCTGGAGCGACGGGGGTGGCTGTCCTGGTGGGACTTCCTTCTCAGGCCAGGGGCCTCAGGCTCTGCTGTCTCACCCAAGGGGTCCTCAGTCGTTCCATCCCAATCTCTTCCTAGGGCCACAGCTAGCCCAGATGTGGGAGGAGACTCTGAGGCACCAGGCCCAGCAGCGTTGCTGGGGATCGGGGGTCCCTCAGGGCTCTCAGAGCCAGGGCCTCCCTCACCCCTAGGGACTGGGGACCCCATGCAAGGCTGTCATGGGCCCCAGGGGCTACGCTGGCCTTGGGGATGCCCTCCTCCCTTCTCCCTACTGTCTGCAGAGCCCTTGACCATGCCAGCCCGCACCGTTCTCCCCGTGTCACAAGTTCTAGAAATTTCTGTCCTTCACACTCTCAGTTATACCCCATGTCCTGTCCTCTCCTTGTTGCACTGGATTGCACGTTAACCAGGGCCAGGCCCTGTGTCTTCTCCCCCACCGAGGGGGGCATGGAGCACTGCTCCATAAATACTTGTTAATTAGGCTGCCGATTGATTGCTGGCCCGGGAGGCCCCGCTCCGCTCTGATCCACGAGTCTCCGCAGTGCGGAGTCCCCCTGCCTGCCGTCTTCACACAGTGAGGGTCTAACTCCGGCAGATGGAGTGGAGTTTCTGACTTGGAAAATCTGCAGCTTGCTTGCTTTTCTTTTGTGTGTGTAAATCACAAAACCTCCAAAGAAAGAGGCTTTATTTTATTTTCCTTTCCCTTGTTCTCTGGAACCCCAGGCCCCGCGGCCTCATTAACTGATCTCTGCTTCAATTAGTGACAGATCCACTCCCAGGGCGAGCCCGTTAGGAGGAGATGACCTGCAAACAAGTGTCAGGGTCCCAGTGGTTGGCCCAGTGCTGGCATTAATTAAAACGAGTCCCTACAAGCAGGCGGCGTGGATGGGGCTGCTGACAGGCTGCGGGCAGATCCCGGGGACCGAGGATGAGCTGGAGTGGAGGCCAGGCCCTGGGAGGCCAGCCTCCTCTCTGGGCAGTGCAGAGCTCTGCTTTCCTCTCACTAGAGCCCTTGACCTTGGCCAGCAACGCCCAGAAGCAGGGATCCCCAGTTTGCACGCCCTAGATGTGAAGTCTCGTGCTGGTTGCAGTGCGGGTGAGCAGCCTTTTGGTGAACCCTCTAAATAGATTTGGCAGTGTCTGGCTTCTTGCTTGAAAATAAAAATGAGATTTCATCTTCAGTTATTTTTGAGATCTAACAGTTTGCTGTCTTTTAACAAAGGAAGCCTCCATCAGTCCTCGCCGTGTGTGCGTTCGGGAGTCGGTGTTGAGCACAGTCTGTGGTCAGCCCCCACGGGGCCCGGGCTGCGCGAGGGCAGCCCGGTCACGCCCTGAAGGCTGCCTGTGTGCTGAGCACTTCGCAGTCTGACTGGTGTATATGCTTCAAGGTGCTGAGGGGGGAAGCTGGGATACTCTGTGCTGAAACCGGAATTATGACAAAGGCAACCATTGGGTGCAGTAGGACCCAGGGATGGGACCCCTGATTCACACAGGGATGACTGTGACAGGACAGACCAGAGAGGTAAAGGCAGGGCTGTGTCCACATAGGGGGCACAGCACACAGAGATGCACACCGGGAGAGCATGACAGATGTCAGGTGTCAGGAAATGAGTGTGGCTGCTCCGTACAGCGTGATGGCATTGAGGGGCTGATGGAGGGGGAGCAGCGGGGCCGGCCGTGCAGCACTACTGTAGGGCCGCGCCAGGAACCCCTGCCTGGGCTCAGGGAGCCGTGGCATTGCAGGGGGTGCAGACAGAGGGGTTTGGAGAAGTCGTGGGGGGTTGGCGGCCCAGCAGTGGACCACCTTCGTGGACACAGGGACTGGAAGAGTAGGCCTGGGGCTGGAGAGGAGGGCTCAGGGCTAAGGTCCCCTCAGAAACTGGTTGATGGAGCCAGAGCGTGAGAGTCGCTTCACCTTCAGCCAGGTCTTAGCTGGTGAGGACTTTCCCTTGGGGGGCAACGCTGACCTCCATTCCTAAAGGGTCTGGGACTTGGGGGTCCTCCCTGTAGAGGATGGAGTGATGTCTGTTAAGCTTTACTACGGACACTGGAGTGTAAGGAAGCGTCCCTGGGGATTCCTGGGCTGAACCCCTCCCCGCCCAGTTCCCACTGCCTACTCCATGTCCCCGTGATAGTCCAACAGGCAAACAATCACAGGAAGGCCAGGTACTGTCTAGGTGCTCGTCTCCATTTTACAGATGAGGAAACCGAGACACTATTCTCCTACCACAGGACCTCTTTCTCTTCAGGCTCCCCCACCCCGTAACTTAAGGGGGCCAGAAAAGTCAAGCAGTGTTCTCGGCTTCCAGCTGGAAGGGCCCCAGGTAGACAAGTCCCGCCCCAGGTACCCCAAGAGCAGTGGAGACTGAAAGAAAATGTCTGAGAGGTTTTTTTAGCTGTAACAGGGTTAGACCCTCTGCTCACCCTTGTGCTTGGTTCCTAGGCCTGTCTTTTCTGGCCAAAGTCAGGTCAGCTACATGTATTTGTCCCTGGGTCACAGCATGCTCTGCCCCCTGCAAGATGCACCCAGCTGTCCTTGTGGTTCTGGGTGTACCTCAGGGTGTTCTCTGTGGTCAGGGATATACCTCAGGTGTTTCCTGTGATTGAGGGGTGTACTGCAAGGTGTCCTCTGTGGTCCAGGGCAGGCCTCAGGCCCTGCTGTTCTTCTCTGGGCGTGATGGAGGAGGTGGGCTGACAGCCTGCGCGTCCTGGACCAGGTTATTGTCTTACTTCTGTCACTAGGATTGGCTTCTGAGTCGGAGGGCCCATCACATGGACCTGGTAGCATAATCTGAAGTGTTCCAGAAGCCTGCAGATGGTGATGCTGGCAGTGGGGAGGCTGACATGAATGTCAGCTCTGTATACATTCTGGGGAGGACAAGTTGTCCCCTCCTACATGGAAGGGGTCTCATGTAATTGGTGTACCAGCAGGTGGCCAGCTGGTCTCTGTGGGTGACGGTTCAAGGGTCAGGCCTGGCCATTGTAGCTGGCAAACAAGCCATGCAGTCACAGTCGGAGCTGACTGATGTTTTAACCTGTGCAGGACTCTCTCCCAGCCACTTTGGCCCTTTGCTCCTGAGCTCGTTGCCAAGCAACAGGCTGGCTGGGGTTGCAGAAAAATTAGAGGGTACTGGGCCGTTTTGTTACCAAGTTTCTACAACGTGTGCCCTCTGGTGGGCAGTCTTGGTACCTCGAAGATTCCTTGACCTACCCGGGCGGGCCCCTGCCCTCCAGGACCCACACGAACTCCTGACCATTTGGGTACATTACGTCCACCACCTGAGGGTGGACCTGGGTTCCGCCCTCGTGCCTTCGTGGACCCCCCTATGGCAAGCACCAGTGGAGTGCACGGAGCCGGTTCTGGAGCCTGCTGAACCCTTCCTTCTAGCGTGGCTGCCGGCTGCTCGCCCTCTGGGGCTCCGTCAGGCGTCTCCTTTCTCAGAAGCCTTCGGGCCCTGGGGCCACCCCTTCCGGC